CTCCGGACATATTGTCCGGAGGAAACAGTCGCTGGAGAAGGATGTCATGCTGGGTAAGGTGGAAGGTCAGAGAAAAAGAGGAAGACCCCTAACGAGATGGATTGGCCAGGTGGCATCATTGATGGACTCAAGTGTGGCAGCGGTAGTGAGGTTAGCCCAGGATTGGACATTGTTTCATTCTGCTGTGCATGGGGTTGCTATGAGTCGGTTCCAACTCGATGGCATCTGACAACAACAACAAACTCTGAAATACTCTTCTTAAAACCATCTTTCCCAATCTCCCTTATTCACAACAAATTTGCTTCATACCTCACTGAAGCCCTTTTCAATATTCCCCAATTTTCTCAATCCAGTCCTGCCTTTATCTGCCTCCTATACATTTTAGTACATGCTTTTGTTGATCTACTGAATTACTCATCTTCTATCAACACCTAATTCTTCTAATCTACTTCCTCAGCCCTAAAATCATATTTTCACATGCTCTTTGAAAATCATAATGTCGCTATAAAATGTATCCAATTTTATGTGAAAACCATCTGTCACTTTATTATGATTATGTAATTCTTTCTCAAAATGGTCATTACCTATCAAAATCTTAACTACTCTTTAAGACCTACTATAAGTCACTTCTTCCATTAAGCCTTGCCTGTTATCCTTTAGTTGGAGAGAATGTCAATGTTTTTGACCAACTAAATCTGTGTCTATGTTTCTCTTATAGTATTCACTACATTCTGCTTTGTCTCAATTATGTATTTAATTCCAGTATATTATAATTTTGTTAAGTCAGGAATCATGCCTCACAGAGTATTTTTGTTCAATTTTACCCAATCATTTTGAAATAATTATGCAATAATCAAATTCACTACCAAAATAATTCCTTTGCTAACCAATGTGACTTATGACTCCCTACACATCTTTTAAAATAGATGAAGAAAGTTTTAGAGAAATCAATAAAAGATAGTCTCAATTCACAAAATGATGTAACTAAAGACAGAAAAAGTGATGCAGGATCAGGAATGAAATTAAGAAATGTGTTGAGACTACTACTAATTCAGAACTCACCATTTTATATACATCTTATTTTTACTAACTTTATGGGATTACTTAACTGATAGCTAGTATTATTTTATTCACTTCAATTATGAACTCATAAAAAATTTAAATCACAGTAGCAAATTATCTTAAGTATACTTCAAACTTTATTGCTAGCATGTCTAAAAATGTGCTATTCTGTTAAATTAGAGACAAACAGGAAAACATTCTAACATAATGCTCTTTCTCCATACCTTCCGATCGTTGCTCTGCCTTCATTTTTCACAGACTGATAAATCTCTCTCTCCTCATTTGAAAGTGTAATGTGCTGAATAAATACTTTACGTTCTGGCAATTCCAAAACAGGTTTCCCTTTAATTTTGCTTGTCTTTGTTCTTCTAAGTGTAATATTCTTAATTAGGGACTGTAAACGCCTAGTCAAAATAAAACAAACTATATAAATTTTTACATCTATATAAGTTTAACAATATTAAAAAATATTTTAATTTATTATTGTTTCATAAACTTAGTAAAGATTGCTTTAAAATCCCCAATTTGGGCTTTTTTCTAACTGGGTAATTACAAAAGTACTCTACAAACAGAAAATAACAACAACAACAAAAATGCATTAAATCCACCTCTCAACTCCATACTTGTCATACTTTTTAATCTTCTGATATCTGTTATTTTTCTTAAATTCTTCTCCACCCCCATTTCTGATAAAATCACTTATCTTTTTACTTCTCAGTTATCTTGTCAACTATATAACATTCATCATTCAAATTCTTACTAAGCACCAAACTAACTGTAAGATACTGCACTTAATACAAATATAGGAATACAAACATGAGTAAGATCTTACATGTTCGAGAAGTTTACTGGTAATACGGCAGTCAAGATATATAAACTATTTTTACAAAGTAACATAGTGCTGAAAACTAAAAATGTGAATGTTAAGAATTCAGAAAAGGAAGAAATGCTTTCCACATAGCGCAAACCCAAAGGAAGCATATGAATTATTTTAGAAAAAGTTTTTTTTAACACTGAAGTATTTAAACATGGAGTCCTGGAGAGGCGCTGCAGGTTAATGCACTGGACTGCAAGATCGGTTTGAACTATATAAGGTCAATGATTCAAGCCCACCAGCGACTCCTCAGAAACCTTATATATATGTTATATATATATGAGTCAGAACCTTATATATATGAGTTACATATATGAGTCAGAACCAACTCAGTGGCTTTTAAAAACAACAACAAAGTTTATAAATACAATTTCTCAGCTGAGAGTTTAAATAGTAGTGAGGAATCAAGTGGACAGTACTGCAACTAGGACAGTGGTTTCTGAACCTGTTTACTCCAATTAGTAGACATACAAACACATGCACACTAACAAAAACAAATATTTCATAATCTTACTATGTATGATGCACCCAATTTTTAGAAACCTTTTATATTTTCCTTTGTAATGCTGATAATTGCCACCATTACAATGATTTTACAACCCATACTGTAGTGGTTACGAATCGGGCTGCTAACCCCAAGGTCAGCAGTTTGAAACTACCAGCTGTTTTGCAGGAGAAAGATGAGGCTTTCTGCTCCCATAAATATTTATAGCCTCGGAAACCCTGTGCAGGGTCACTATGAGTCGGAACCGACTCCATGGCACATAACCACCACCACCACCACCACAAACTTTAAGGAGCTCTGGTAGCGCTGTGGTTACGAATCGGGCTGCTAACCTCAGGGTCAGCAGTTTGAAACCACCAGCCGTTCTGCAGGAGAAAGATGAGGCTTTCTGCTCCTGTAAAGATTTACAGCCTCGGAAACCCTATACAGGGTCGCTATGAGTCAGAAGCGACTCCACAGCATATAACCACCACCAACCACTACAAACTTCAAAGGAAAATTACCTCAGTTCAGCATTTATTATCCTAATTTACCCAATAATTATCTGATTGTTTTAAAATGTTGACAGAAATTTCTGAGTGACTCTAATACAAATTTGATCATATTTTTAAAGGACTTTAAAAGACTTACAATCCAGTTGCTTAACACAGAAAGAGGGCAGATGATCAATGTTGTTCTTGGTTTCTCTTCAAGATCAGTTTTCTTTGAATCCTCCACTGCAGATGTTCCTGAAAAGACCAATCATTAACACAACTTTAATGCATTTGCTCCCTCAAATATAAATGAAGTCAATAACATACACTATTGTACTCTGTAAGCTAAGATCTTAGGAAGGATCAAAATTAAGTGGATGGAGTTCTGTTTCAACCTATAATGGAATATTGGGATTGGACTGCCACTTAAAACAATTTAAAAACCAGACGATGATTACATATGAGGGAGGTAAAAAAAAACAAACAGCTAACTGGGAAACACCAGAAAAACTGTGGAGTACTTGGCAAGGTTCTATTTTCTGATGTAGAGATTAAGCTGAGCATCTGTTTTATGTAGTTTCCTGAACTTCATAGTTAGCTTCCAAGATGACATCCAAGGATCCCCACCTCACATTCCTGGTATTCACACCCTTATATGATCTCTTTCCACACCATACCAAGGTTGGTCTGAGCAATCAACAGTTCTTGTTAGGTGCTACTGAGTCAGTTCTTACGCATAGCAAAACTAGAGGAACAGCTGGTGAGTTTGAACTGCCCACCTTAAGGTTATGCTATAGCACCACATCAAGACTCTAGGATCATCAATTAGATAGCAACAAAATGATAGTATATCACTTCTGAGATTAAATTATAAAAGATTGCAGCTTCTATCTTGTACACCCTTTCTCTCTGAATACCTGACTCTGGGACTGTCTCTCTCTCTCTTTATACATGCCAGCTACCCTGTTGTGAGGACAATCAGGCAGTCTATGAAAAGACATACATGGTGATGATTTTAGGACTCCAGTAAACAGTCGGCAAAGAATTGAGGTCTATAAACAAGCCCATGAACTTAAAACTATATAATTATCAAGTAAAATCTTCAGGTGATTAGGCCTAATGACTTGATTGCAACTTTATTGGATTCCCAACCAGTCATATCCATTCAGCTAAATATTGCCCCACACCAACAAACTATGTAAATAAAATTATAAATATCTATGGTTTTAAACTTCTGAGTTTTATAACTATTTAGCACACAGTAATACAACTCGACGGCACTTAACAATAACAATAGGTAGCTAATATATTTATTTACAAATTCTTACACTGTGCATAGATACATGGACTCAGGCTGAATGGATAAAGGAGAAAGAGTGGGATATGTGTGTATATATATACATATACACTCACACACATATATCCCACAAAAATATGAGCTCGAAAGATGGTACTTATACAGGAGTATTTACTTTTCCTATAAGCACAACTCTGAATGTGGTGGAGCATACAGTGGTCCAAATGATACAAACTTCCTATATATTATCAAATATCTTAAAGGAAACAAGTTGATGGGTCTGGGGGCTCAGGACCATAGTTTCAGGAGACACCATGGTCAATTGGCCTAACATGGTCCCCAAAGACAATGTTTCACATCCTGCTTAAATGAGTAGCGCCTGGGATCTTGAAAACTCATGAGCGACCATCTAAGGTACAGGTAACTGGTCTCTCAATGTACAGAAGAGTAATAAAAAGTAAAGAGGCTTGGAATCAAATAGTCCATTTGACTAAGGAAACTTAAGAACATTAGTCTCCACGATTCTTGACACCGGAAGAACTAGACAGTGCCAAGCTACCACTGCCAACTGAGACCGGAAGAACTAGACAGTGCCAAGCTACCACTGCCAACTGCTCTCAAAGGCATCAGATTAGCAGTTCCCAAAGAAAGTGGGAGAATTTTGAACCACCGGGTTGGCAGTTTGAGCCCACCAACCACTCTGTCAGAGAAAAATTAGGCTTTCTGCTCCTGCAAAAAAGATTTAAAGCCTCAGAATCCGTATTTAAGGTTGCTATGAGTTGAAACCAACTCCATGGCACTTAATAGTAACAACAATGTGTCAATCACCAGGCAAAGCAAAAAAAAAAAAAAAAATAGTTTTTAATAAGTATGTCTATGAAGCAGTAAAATTATTCATTGTATTAGATCTTGACCCTTGAATACGTGTCTTTTTAATATTCTATGTAAGGAAATGAGAACTATGCACACAGCACTTCTGATCAATACTGAAGTACACCAGTCAGTCAAGAAGAATCACTTGTGCAGCTGTTGGATTTGCAAATGGAACCAGCCTGCATTTATCATAGAGCTCCTTTTTTTATTTATTTAGTTTTTAACCTAAATGTACGACTGATAGACAAATTTTTGTAATACAGAGTTGGCAAACATTTTCTTGAGCTTGTCAGTATTTTCTGGCATGGACAATATTTGTTTCCAATGTCAAAAACCAAATTTTTGAGAAAAAAATGAGAATTTTGGAAAATTGTATTCACTGCCATGAGTTGACATATTCCCAAGACTTTCCCCAAGACTCTTCTGAGGAGATGGGTGGTAATATTAACAAATGTGTTTTTTTTATGTTATATAATGTGTCAATATTTAAAAAGAAAAAGAAAATGGGATAAAGTGTGTGACAAAACTCAAAATTATTAAGAACCAAAAAAAGATGACAGAGTTTACTGGTCAGAAAGGGACTGGAGGAACCTAAGACTATGACCCTTGACCACCTTTCAGGTTTGAAAAGGACCCTTTTGGCCCAATTTTACAGTCATGGAGCGGACAGATATGTAAGTGGGACTACAACACTAGAATGGTATGCTCACTATGGAATGGTCAATTATTCAAAATCAAAAGGGCAATATTTTCCTAAGAACAAAGTTGAGAGAGGATAAAAAGGTGGATGGAATGCAAATAGGACAGGGAGGAAGCAGGACAACTGTTGTTAAATGGAGAAGACTGTAATCATTGAGATGAAACAAAGGATTTATTGAAAAGTAAAGCTAATGATCTTGTCTGTAAACAATCCACAATAAAAAGTTTAAAATAAATATATCATACATGAAGGAGGAAAAGAGCAAAACGTCATTAAAAACTCAGCAAAGACAAGACCAAAGTGGTTGTCAGAAGACACTGGGAAACTAGCTCTTGAAGTTAGAGAAGCTAAAGTGACTCAAAGAAATGATTAAGAAAAAATTTTCTGAAGGCAGCTTGAGAAAACAAGTCAAGTATTACAATGAAATGTGCAAAGACCCGGAATTAGAAAAACAAAAGGGAAGAACAAGCTCAGCATTTCTCAAGCTTTCAAGCTGAAGAAAAATTTCCAAGTAACTGTTTTTAATATTGAAGGGTTCTATCCGGTAGCGTAGTGGTTATGAATCGGGCTGTGAATCACAAGGTCAGCCGTTGGAAACTACCAGCTGTTCCGCAGGAGAAAGATGAGGCTTTCTGCTCCCGTCAAGATTTACAGCCTCAGAAACCCTGTACACGATCGCTATGAGTCAGAACCGACTCGACGACACTTAACAACAACAAATATGGTCAGCAGTTTGAAACTACCAGCTGTTCCACGGGAGACAGATGAGGCTTTCTGCTCCCGTGAAGATTTGCAGCCTCAGCAACCCTGTATAGGGTCGCTATGAGTCAGAACCATTCCACGGCACATAACAGCAACAAACATGGACAACTGGAGATCTAGTGTGGTGCCATAGGATAAGCACTGGACTGGAAGGTCAGTTTGAACTCACCAACCACTCCTTGGAAACCTAAACAGGGTTGCTAAGAGCTGGAACTGACTTGACAGCACTAACACAACAATGGACAATATGGACTTCTGGTGTGGCGCTCTAGGATCAGAACTGGATTGTGAACCACGAGGTAAGCAGTTCAAGCCCACCAGCTGCTCCTTGGAAACTCTATTCAGGGTTTTTATGAGTCAGAATAGACGATGGCACTTAACAACAACAACAACATGGACAATACGATGTCCTGGTGTGGCAATGTAGGATAAGCACTCAACCATAAGGTCGGTTTGAACGGCAAGGTCAGTGGTTCAAACTCACCAACTGCTGCTCCTCGGAAACCCTATACAGGGTCATGATGAGTCACTTAACAACATGGACAATATATTGCAAAATAAAGATAAGGCTTTCTACTCCTGAAAAGATTTAAAGCCTCAGAACCCTGTAACAGGGTCGCTATGAGTTGGAACCAATTCTAAAGTACTTAACAACAATGGATGTACATTAAAGGTACAAGTACTACAAATTTCACCAGAATAGGACTGAGACCAATGTGTATAAATAACATTTAAACCCTATGGAGTCCTGGTAAGTAGGATCAGTATTAGACTGCTAATCACAAGGTCTGCAGTTCAAACCCACCAACCGCTCCTTGGAAAGCCTGTACAGGGTCGCTATGAGTCAGAACCAAATCACTGGCACTTAACAACAACAGATATTACAGGCATCCTGGAGTGGCGTTGTGGATAAGCCCCGGACCTTAAGATAAATCTGAACCACAAGGTCAGCGTTTTAAACTCACCAGGGTCACAAGTCAGAACTAACTCAACGGCACTTAGCAACAACAGCAAATACCATCTTAAAAAATAATAATAATTATCTATCTATCTATATCTGGTGTGGCGCTGTGGGTTAATGTGCCAAACTGCAAAGCCATTTGAACTGCAAGGTTGGTGGTTCAAGCTCACCAGCTGCTTCTTGGAAACCCTATACAGGGTTCGCTATGGGTCGGAATTGACTAGATGGCACTTCACAACAACAACAAAATATCTATCCATATCACTTAACAACAACATCTATCTATCTATATCATCTTAAAAGAAAATTATGATTACAAAAGAAATCTGACTTGTGTCCATAAATATCAGTCCAATTATTGATCTTACAAGAAAAATAAATTAGCCCAGAGAGTCACGCTTCCCCTGATTTTAACAAGGACATATATCAACTACTAAAATATTACTATTACTATATTCTACGAAGAGTCTAAAAAATACAAAGATAGTGCTTACACTCTTGACATGTGGCTATGATATATAACTTACTGCAATTTTAAGAATATTGAAAAGGATGTAGTGCATACCTCAACAATTTATTCATTCAATAATTCAACAATCTACTAAGCTAACAGTGTAACAAACCATAGCAAGGGTTAGGGGTACGTTTGTGAATAAAACGAGGGTCCTTATATTTATGTATCTTGCATTTTAAAGAGGAAGGCAAGCTATTATTTATCCTTAAGTTATACATCTATCATTATATAATGCAAGAAAAGTGGTAGGAAAAAAATTAAGTATGATAAGAGTATACAAACTGTGAGGTGGGAGCAAACAGTTGAACTGAAGTTTCTCTGAGAAAGTGACAACTGATTAGAAATCTAACTGAAGTGAGAGCAAGCTAAGCAAATAGCCAAAAGTAATTTGCACACAACAGACTTTCAACAAATATGCTACAATTTTGAAAACTCACACTAGTTATTTTCAATTTTCATCATCTAAACAAAACATTTGTAAAATATACTTTACTTAGGGTATATAGTCTCCTTAGGGTACCTTCAAAATAAATGTCCAGTCAAAGTAGTAGTTTCCAAGGAGATATGCTGAGCCAGTTAAATTCAAGGGAAACAGGTCAGTGCAGAAGATAATGGAGATTTTTTTTTAATTTGTAAGGGGTAAGTTAGCTTCACAGATTTTCTCAAAGGAAGATCTTGTAGGCTTATTGTGAAAGTTTTTTTGTTTTTGTTTTTTTAAATATTGAAAACAACATTGGCGAGAAAAAAGGTTAGGAAAACTGCTGCAAGGAATTTTTTTCCATCATAACAATTCAGCTGCGCATTTTTCTCAAGTAGATAGGTCTGTCCTAGGAAATTTCACTGGGAGTCCCTATTCATCCCAAAGCCCTGATCCTGCCCCTTCATGATTCTTTTTGTTCCCAAAATCCAAAGGAAAATTAAAAGGAACATAATTTTAATCCCTCAAGGCTGCCCTAATAACTATTTTGGCATGATATAAATCTAAAGCAAATAATTCAAGGAAGTATTGTTGTTGTTAAATGCTATCGAGTCAGTTCTGACTCACAGCAACCCTGTATAGGGTTTCCGAGGAGTAGCTAGTGGGCTTGAACCACCCACCTTGCAGTTCAAACCAACTTTGCAGTCCGCACATTACCCCACAGCGCCATATCAGGACTAAGCAATGGAAATATTGCCTTCAGAAGTGCACAGACCTAGATGGAAGATAACTTATGAAACAATAGCTTCATATTTTAATAAACTTGTTTATTAATATAAATACTAAGGATCTCTATGATTTTCTAGAAATACTTCTTGACTTACCCTTATATATTAACATATAGTCACTATCATGATAGTAACACATATATTAATATAGTGACTGTATTTTAATAATCACTATCACATGATAGTGACTATGTATTAATCTATTACAGTAGCTATATATATGAGGGTAAACCAAGAAGTATTTGTAGAAAATCACAGAAACCTTTAGTAAACAAGTTTATTAAAATATGAAGCTATTGTTTCACAACTTACTCTCCAGCTAGATCTATCTACTTCTGAAGGCAACATTTCCATCTCTTAGTCCTGGTGTGACAATGTAGGTTAATGCGCTGGACTTCAAAGTCACTTTGAACCACAAGGTTGGTGGTTGAAGCTCACCATCTGCTCATAGGAAACCCTATACAGGGTTGCTATGGGTCAAAATTGACTCAACAGCACTTAACATCATAAACTAAGGCAATATGCTTAAGCTATTTTTCTCCCAATTTACAGCTTACTTACTCAACAGACAGTTATGTTCCTCAGATTTAGGCACCCAACACTAAATGGTTTCAAACACAAACTCCAGCAGATAACAGCAGAGAATTTAAAGTTCTACAAATTGACTCTTCTCTGTTCCTCTAAAGTGAATCTGACTTAAATGTTTAGTAGCTTAAGTTCATAATGTTTTTTAATTCAATTTGATTGAGTTAGACATTCTATAAAATAAAATAAAATAAAATAATTTGGCTACCTTTTGGGAGTAATTAAGCACAGAAATTAACTCTAACCTGAAGTCATTGTATCCCATCCACCAGCTTCATATCTGATGTGCTTTTCCTGTAGCCTGCAATGTTTACCATGTTATCTCCCTTATCAGCCCAAAGTAGAAGAGATAGGAGGAAGACTGTTACTGAAATTTCAAGGAAAATCAATGAAAGATGTGTAATACATGAACATGCATGTACTGTCACTCACATAAAGCAAATCTTAAAATTTTCCTGTATTTACTTCAAAATTCTTTTAAAGAGAAAATAATACAGGTACAATTTAAAAAAAAAAAAAATCCCTCTTGAACAAGTCTTCTGATCAAAATATCTTTTTTCCCCAGATATAATCACCAAACTAAAGATGTATATCCCTCCTCTGTATGTTTTCATACACTACATGCCTACTAGAGTGTGGTGGGGTACTGCAGGATACACACTGGACTGCTAACCAACAAGGTTGGCAGTTCAAATTTACCAGAGGGTTCTCAGATACCCTTATGCTGGGTCTCTATGAGTTGGAACGGACTCTATAGCACTCATCAACACATGTCTACTGAACCTATATGTAACTATACATTTAAAAATATTTGAAAACCTTATATAATATAGTATTCACTCAGTATCTATTGCACCACAACTCATTTTTCCTCTACAATGCTATAATATTTAAGGTTTTATATTTATTAACATTTGTAATACCAATGTATTAATTTTATCTGATGTTGTTGTTCAGTGCTATCAAGTTGGTTCTGACTCACAGCAACCCAGTACAGGATTCCCAAAGAGCAAATGATTAGTGTGAACTTTGATGCATCCTCAGTGTGGAAAAGGAAGGAAACAAAAATGCAAATATAGTAATTTGTTCCAGATCTCTACGTTGTTCTTAAGTGCTGTTGAACTGGTTCCAGCCCAGAGAGAACTTGTACAGGGCTTCCAAGGAGCAACTGGTCTCCAGAACCTCTTTTAAAGTCTTCCTGTCAGAAAGAGATTTGGGAATGTGATGGCTCTATAGGATAAACACTGGACTAGAAACCACAAAGTTGGTTTTTGCTTCTGTAAAGATGCGCAGTCTTGGAAAATCCTACCTAGGGTTGCCATGGGTCGGAATCAACTCAAAACCACTTAACAATATCATAAACATTTATATTCTTAAGTAGAGTTTTTCTTCTCTTATGATTAAAATTTTAAAAGATCACTGAATTTTTTTAAAGAATTATAATTCAAGAACATTTTTACTATAATTTAACTTAATCTGTATTATATTATACTTTAAATGTCATAAATTGCTTTGCTTCTTACTAGAAGATATTTCTGTGCCACTAAGAGAAATAAGAAACCTTGTAAAAATTTTAACTTTGGATTAATTAAAACAAGCAGAACAGAAAAAAGTACCAGGAGAAAAACACAGAAAAATGTAGTTTTGTTTTTAATGAGATTGTATATGTGACATAAAACTATCAACCACAGATCAAAAAGGGCAGAATATGCCCAGGGATAAAGTTCAGAAAACAGAGATGAATAGGAAAGATGGATGAATGAAAATGGAAACCACAGGGAAGAAGTGGCAGGAATACTGTTACATTGTGGGGACCATCACAAAACGTGTATGAACTGCTGAATGGGAACACAAATTACTTTGTAAACTTTTATTCAAATCAGAATAAAAAAAATTTTTTAAGAAAAAAGATTGTGTGCCCTCTTCTTGTAATGTTATTTGATAACTTATACATCATTTAAATTAAAATAATTGAAAACATACCCAAACCCTAGGTAATCAGAATTACTGACCCTTTTTCAATATTTTCTTTTTTGATGTAAGTGTACATGCGAACTCTGGATCTTCTTTAATCTTGGAAGATCCTGCTGAAGGAAAACCACAGAATTATTAAGATATAAAATTTTCCCCCATGCTAAGGTACACATACTAGGGTTAGAAGAATACCACTCTTCCCCATTCTCTAAGCTTATGCTATTAAATAATAATATTTAATAACCAAAGTTGCCACTTCTAATACTAATCATTTATCAGAGAAGTGATATATATGGCTTTATGACAGACTGTAAAAGGCAGAGCTTTTTTATGGTTGCTAAGTGTCATAAAGTTGTTAGATGTCATTAAGTCAATTCTGACTCAGAGATCCAATATAAGAATAAAACTACCCCATAGATGAACAACTTAGATACTGGCTACCTAAAATTGGGAGGGGTGGGAGTAGGGGGACTATAAAAGCACAAAGTGACTGGCTTACAAGTTTTCAAGAGGGAGTTTAGTTTCAGAGTGTGCAGGGGAAGGTAAAATCCCCAACTGAACAGTTTTCATCTTGTCTAGACAGGTCTGGTGAAAAGAGATGGGGATAAGAATATGATTCAATAGTGAGTAATTGTTATCATGACTAATTGTGACTGTCACAACTGTAAAGGTAGACATTTTGTAACAAAAAGAGGGGAGTAGTTAATCATAACAGTCCAGGAACAGAGGACCCTGAGACCATCAAGAGAGAAGAGCATAAACAGAATGTGGGACCCTATCCATAGAAGTAACAACACCAGAGATGGAGCAGTGATGAGGACATGGAGGACTGAGGACTCCAGACTCATAGAAAGAGAAAGGCTATATGCTTGCAGCCAGGATGCAGGATGCAGGCTTGCAGAATGTGCCCTTTGGTTGTGATTATATATTCCTGAGTGTTTTTGTGTACATCCTTAAAAAAAAAAAAAAAAACCCAGAGGGAAAAGAAGCAAATACTATTTATTGAATGATGATGTACGGAGATTGTAATCACTGCAATGAAATAATGAGTGCAAAACTGCCCTATAGTATTTCCTATGCTGTTAATCTCTTCAGATGTAGATCAAGCAGGTCTTTTCAGCCACTGGATGGGTCTGAACTGCCAATCTTTCACTTAGCAGCCAAGCAACAAACCACTGTGCCACCAGGGCAGTCATCCGCAAAATGATCTTGCTTCCAGGAGGAAAAAAATTTAAGAATTATTTTTTTTTTAAAACTTCTGATAATGAAGCTGCCTAAAGTCTGTGAACATTTGTTTTCCAAATTCAATATAATGACATGACTAATTAGGAATATGTAAGAAAATATGACCTAAATTTGAGGAAAAATAAAGCATGTTTTGAAGTCCTGGTGTGGTCCTGTGGGTTAATGTGATGGACTGCAAAGCTGGTTTGAACTGCAAGGAGGCAGTACAAGCTCACAAATTACTCCTCGGAAACCCTATGATACAGGGTCACTATGGGTCAGAACCAACTCGACAGCACTTAACAACAACGACAAAGCATATTTTAAAATTAGAGGAAAAAATAAAGATACTAGTTACTTTTACATCTATATTACAATGTAAATTAACAGTAATAATAGGTCACTCTCAACCTACTTTCATAATTATTATGTATACAGATACAAATAAAGATTTTTGTAAAGACATTTTATAAGTTGATGTTAAGTGCTGTTGTAATTACAACTCACAAGTACCCTGTACAGGGTTTGAACTACCAACCTTGCAGTTCAAACTTAATCCTGCTCATCCAGTGCATTATCCTGCAGCGCCACACCAGGACTCCATTTTATAAGTAGTAGAATATTCCCTGTATTTTACTTGAAGTTTATTTAAATATGCCTTCTATTTTAATTAATACTATTCAGTTTCCCTCATTTATTTAATGCCATTTAATAGTATTATTAGTAAGCTTCATTCCATGAAAAGATGAAATGTAAAAATCAGCCATGTTTAAGATCTATTACTAAGAATTTAAAGCTGGAAATATAAAAACCAATACGTAGTTTTACTTTAGTAGTCAATGAGTCATAACCAACTCGACCACACGTAACAACAACAAACAAGTATAGATTATGGGTATGAAGAAAATGTATACACATACCTTTTCCTCTGCCTTTAGTCTCTGATTTTGCACTTTTCAGCTTGCCTAAAAACAAAACCACATTAAACCTAAAATGAGTCATGCTAGGAAATACGAATATAGATTCAGTATCAAGTCAAATTCCATTTCATACTACCTTTTGTTTTCTGTGGCAATTCACTTGTTTCAAATTCCTCTGAATCACTGCTTTCCATATACTTGTCAACTGTTTTTCTTCTAAAATTAAGTATTCACAAAGAAATCTTTTATCAACCCACAATAAAATGAGAGGTGAAAATTAAAGTTTAATAATAAATGCCATACAAATGCTTGTCTTGTTCCTGATTGTTTTTCAAAAAATCTCAAGGGAAAGTTTTTATTTGACAAATGAAAGTCAAATATACTAAAAAAGCAAACTGCTTTCCTAACTAGATGCATTTACTACACAAACTATAGTATCACCAATTATTACAATAAACTGGAAGAATTAAACTATTCTAAAAGGATGGTCATTTCAATCCTGAATTCAGTATTTAATAATTCCAATATTTTGTAAGGTTAGAACAGAAACAAAAGGCTCTTAGCACAAGTTTTCTTTCACAAGGAAAACTCTCCTATGGAAACACAACAGCACAGTGGTTAATTATCTAAATACAAGGGACATGAGTCAAGACTACCTAGAACAAAAATCCTCATTTTCCACTAATTTAGGCAAACCATCTAATTTTCTTCTTTCTCATGTGGACAATGGGAAAAAAATACAATCTACCTCACAAGACAACATGTGCTAATATATGTGAAAGCTTGATTCATAAACATGTTATGTATTATTAGTATAAAATGTGTGATGCCTATAGTTTTCGTTTCGTCATGTCCTTCAATTTGGTCTGGTTTATCAAATAATGCTGCTTAAGGTCAATGTAGAGCTTAAGAACTGAGATCTAGATAAGTAGTCTGTGCTCAGTCTAAATGGATATCAACGGAAGAACAATGAACAAAGCCACAGCTTTAAGACGTGCTGGTGGAATAGCTAACAATGGTCCAAACTGGTGGTGACATTAACAGGGATTAGACTATGCAACAAAAGTCCAGTATTTAAATCTACTTCAGAGAATAAATGAAGCCTGAAAATTTAACAAGAGGCCAGATTCAAGGTGATAACAAAGGAGCATTATGTGGTCTATTTAAATCCTCCTTCCAGTCTGATTGATACTCTCCATGTAACTTTATGAACCTCTTGCAGCTCACTAGTTACACTCTTGGCTGCTAATGAAAAGGTTGACAGTTGGAACCCACTAGCTGCTCCACGGGAGAAAGATGTGGCAGGCAGTCTGCTTCTACAGAGACTTACAGTCTTGAAACCCTAGGAGGCACCACTCTGTCTTATGGGGCACTACGAGTCACTGGAGTCCTGGTACAGCATAGTGGATTAATGCGCAGAACTGCAAAGTCAGTTTAAACTGCAAGGTCTGCGGTTCAAGCTCATTAGCTGCTCCTTGGAAACTCTATACAGGTTGCTATGGGTCGGAAGCAACTCTACGGCACTTAACAACAACAACAGCTAGTCAGTGAGTTTGGTTTTTGATATAAATAACTTTATCATGTTTTATTCCCACTAGAAGTAAAATTAAAATGAAATTAAATGAACAAAGAATGTTTTCTCCAAGTCATCCAATAACTATTATTTGGCTTTAATTCCTTAAATCCATAAAGAAAATTCTTCTAACCTAGGTGAAAGTAAAAGAAATTAAAATGGTAAAAAGATGGTTATTAAAAATTAGCGATCCACATTTTCTATAGATCAGTATTTTCTTCTTCTCAACAATAAAATATGAATGCCCTAATCCTGCTTTAGAGCTGTGAGTTAATATGCTGAATTGCAAAGTTAGTCTGAACCGCAAGGTTGGTGGTTCAAGCTTACCAAGTTGCTCCTCAGAAACCCTATGGATCAGAACCAACTTGACAACTCACAACAACAACCCTAAGTCACAATGACTTTGGTAGTTTCAAATAAAAAAAAATATATTTGTAAGAACAACCTGAGACATAATGATTACATCTATCTCCTATATATAACAAAACTGAGTTCAAAAAAATAATAATCAAACCATAATACACAGTTTACCTTTTAGGACGGGAGCTAAAATATTCTGATATGGAGTATTTATTCTTCTCCTTCACATCTGAAATACTGGGCTCTTTGCTACATCTAGATCCTTCTATTTCAAAGAAAAAGACAAATGTCATAGAGTATTACATTAACAAATTTGTCTTAACTAGAAATACTACCCTTAACTGGGTTTTCCAATTCAGTGGTTCAACTTTCCTAAGATCTTCATTCAAGCCCTCTGTTTTCCTACTCGCTTTGTTTCCTAACCTAGTATTTTCTCACCAGAAACTCTTCAATTTCTTATGACCCAGCAATCTGTCCCATGTAGTCAATCCACACACTTAGCTACATTTCCTGCAGTATGAAACTAATGAGAGCTGCTGAAAAAAAATAACCACCACAGATCAGTGGTACTAAAATTTTAATTTTCAAATTTCCCTTTCCACTAGACAGAATGATCATTTGTATGGATTCAAACCCTTTCACTCCCATCATATAGTTTAATTCTCTTCACAAAGAAAACCAAATGCTATCTTTCTATTTTTCTATCTTTATTCCCTCATTTATCTATATTTTCCCTCAACCTAACCTCCTTCCCTTCTAACTCAAGCAAGATATCCCCTTCCAAGTCATCTACCTATTTTCTTAATCAAATTTCCTCCCACATTATCAACCAGTTTTTTGTTGTTGTTGTTGGTTTTTCATTTTGTCCACAATACAATCTCTTCGTAGCCATGGTTTCTTACAGCTAAAAAATCATCAAAAACAAAAACCTTCTACTTTAACTTCCCTCTCCAATTATTATTCCAGTTCTCCTTTCCCAATCTCAGCAAATTAACATTGCGCAGTTTTTCCAAATCTTCCTTTACTATTCTTATCTTAAAATCTTTTTCAGAGAACTTCTGGGGCAAGATGGTGGAAGAGGTAGACAAGCTTAGATCTGCAACAAGAACATATGAAACAACAAAGTAGAACAGACAAAGACAGTGTGGTCCTCCAACTCTGGGCTTCAGAGAGCAAAATACAGCACTAGATTGAGGACCAATTAGTAGAAGACATTGACAGGAGCGGCAAGAAATGAGAAAAACAAGCAGTCTGTCAGCTCTCCTGGAGCAGCTCTCGACACAGCAGCCCAGAGGAACAGGAAGTGGCTGGGGGTTGGCTGCAAGGGAGGTGCAGTTCTCCTGTTTCCCATGGCCTCCTGGTAGCCAGGGGGATGGCCAGGTCCTCACCATTACCAGTTCAGCAGCACACTCTCCTACAAAAGCCTCTGTTCTGTCTAGGGTCAGTTGGACACCAGGCATACACCACCCCAAGTCTGGAGGAATGTGAACCCACCCTGAATACAAATAGCAAACAGAGAACTGCATTCGCACTTCCAGTCTCTACCACATCCACAAGGAGATAGTGAGCAACTGAGAACACACTAAAATACAATCATCAATAAGTATAAATACAGTGACATCACAAGTCTCAGAGACAACTACAGCTTACATTAAGAAAAAAGACAAAATGCTTCAAACAAGTGACGAAAATACACTCAGAAAATGTAACACCAGAAAAGGTATCAGAACTACCTGGTTAAAAAAATTTTAAAGAATGATGAGTACATTCAATGGATTGAGAAAGCTGCAGGGTGAAATCAAGGAAAACACAGGCAAATCTTCAGACAAATTGAGGAAAACACTACAAAATTAAATTGTCAAAATAAATTAAAAAATTGGAAGTCATACAAAAACAGCAATTTGAAAACCAGAAGATTAATATTAAGAATTCAGAAATAGATAATACATTGAAGGACAAAGAAGTAGAATTGAATCAATGGGAGGCAGAATTACTAAGCTTGTCTTTTCATATTTCAGGATGTTAGGCAAATTTTCTTCCATAAGTTCTTCAACTATCTCATCTCCTCTGTGGTCTTCTATGATCCTTCCTGTTTCAGAACTCCCAATAAAGCTCAGATTATTCCTCTTCACGTTGTCCTGCATGAATCTTAGACTTTCTTCAGATTTTTAAAATTCCTTTTTGTGCTTGCTATCTTAACAGTATCATGTTGGGTAAGGTGGAGGGTCAGAGCAAAAGAGCAAGACCCCCAGTGAGATGGACTGGCAAAGTGGCAGCATCAATGGGCTCAAGCATGGCAACAATAGTGAGGTTGACCCAAGATCAGGCAATGTTTCCTTATATTGTACATAGGGTCGCTATGAGTCGGTACTGACTTGATGGCACCTTAACAACAACAGTCTTGTTCCTGGACATGAGCTGAGATCTTCTGTTGCTGTTTGTGAATTTTCAATAATTAGATTTATTTTCAATAATCAGGTGAACGTATGTTGGTGTATTATTAAGTTTTCTGATTATCTCTTGGTTGATGTGATCAGGACATGGACTTCCCTTTTCACTTCTCTTACTACTCAACTCAGTAATTTTAGCAAGTGTTAGCTACCTATTTGGTGTATAGCAGCTGGTATTGGCTCTTGCTCAGAGGGTGGGATTTTATAAGCCACGATTATAGCTTAGCTGTATGACCTCAATTGTTGTATCTTCTTGGGTAATGTAGGGAGACAAAAAGCCCTCCTTAAGGTAAAAGGTAAAATAAACAGATTAGACACTAACATCTTCACTCACACACATACATAAAAAAGCCCCATAGTAAAATATGAGTAAGACTTATAACACCCCTTTACCAGCTTCTTGCCTTCAAAACTGCCTGAGAAATTTGAAGATGTTACCATTGCTCTGTACAACATAACTCAAGATTTAATTTTCGGTCTCTTTCCTTTTTTGTCTGTTTTACCTCTCTCTCCTCAAGCCCATGCAGGTTATTCTCCTAGTGAGAAACAGCCCAGGGCTGGCCAGAGGCATTTTTGAAATCCCTCATGTTTTAAGCTGCCCCTGTTGACTCCTCCCCTTTCTTTGATTCTGCATCCAGTGATCTTTGCTGAGCAGATACATGTGTATGTACAGAACCCTCTGGGGGTGAGGTGTGGAGTGTCCACATGCTCAGACATATAGTCACCAGATACATGTTTATGTACAGAACCCTCTGGGGGTGAGGAGTGTCCACAAGCTCACATATAGTCACCAGAGTAGAGATGTGCAGATAGAGAGAGATCAATGAACAGGAAAAAAAAAAAAAAAAAAAAAAAGTTCGAATCAGCCAGACCCCTGTGATGGGAACACTACTCCCTTGATCCTTTACCTGTTCCATCCTGTTCAAGATGGCTGCTCTAGGACCTGCTGGCAGCTGCAGATCAGAAAACACCACCTTTCTTGCTTCTGCTACAAATCCTATAAGCAGTAAGCCTTCAATACTTCTAAATATTCCTTTATATGTAATTCAGAGTTCTAGAACCATCCCCTAGACCTGCTTCACCTGGCATTCTGTGTTATTATTGGCAGAGGTCTACATGGCGCCTCTCCCTAATCCACCATCAAGCCCTGCCTTCAGAATTGCTGAGCTTAAAGGCAAATCTGCCAATATTCATGTGCTAGACTACCAATCAGAAAAAAAAAGAACAGAAAATCCGAAGAAAAACTAAGATAGTGGGACACTATCAAGAGGAATAACTTATTTGTGACTGAAATTCCAGAACAGGAAGACACAAAATAAATTAATAAAACTGAGAAAATTGCCAAAGAGTTGTTGGAAAAAAACTTCTGTAGTATCAACAAGTTGAACAAACTAAACAGAACAGACCTAAAGAGAAAACCACTAAGCCAATATAATCAAACTTTAAAACCAAAGACACAAACAGAATCCTGAGAATAGCTCAAGATAAATCAAATAGTTACCTACAAAGGAGAACTAATAAGACTAAAATCTGATTTCTCAGTAGAAACTATACAGGCAAGAAGACAATAGAATGACACATATAAAACCTAAAAGAAAAAAACTACCAACCAAGAATCATATAGCCAACAAAACTGTCCACCAAATGTGTCAGCAAAGTTAGGATATTTCCAGATAACCAGAAATGAAAAGAAATTTATAAAAATCAGACTAATCCTACAAAAATACTAAATAGAGTTCTTTGGACAGATAACAAACAGCAGCAGGCAACAACCTGACACTAGCATTTATGATAATACCACCCAGAACTCAACCAGTCCTGGTGTGGTGCTATATCATCAGCACTGGTCTGTGACCCAGAAGGTCAGCAGTTCAAACCTACCAACTGCTCCTTGGAAACCCTATAAAGGGTCGCTAACAGTCAGAGTCAAGTGGACAGTACATAACAAGATTGAAAATAGGGGACCAGAGATACTAGTTTGCAACAACAACAAAAAATGAAGAAGGAATAATGTAGTTATAGAACTTACAAAGGAAGATTAAATCAAATAGACTTCAAGAAAAATAAATAAATAAAAACCTCACTGTAATCCTAAAACTAGATTAAGCCTTACTCCTAGCCTTAGCCTAAGCCCTGCCCATAGTCTTGGTGCGGCGCTGTAAGATAAGCATTGGACTGTGAACCACATGTCAGTGGTTCAAACCCACCAGCTGCTCCTTGGAAACCTACACAGGGCCACTAGTCGGTCTGAAATACAAAGTGGGCAGTTCAAGGTCACCAGCCTCTCCTCAGAAACCCTATACAGGGTTGCTATGAGTTGGAACCGACTCGAAGGCACTCAACAACATGAGTCACAACTGACTCAACGGCATTTAACATATATAATACAGGCCTTGCATAGACAGCCACAGTCCTAAGTCTCTAATTCTACTCCTACACACCCTTACCTCCACAAAATAAAATATTCAGTCTTGTTCTACTCTAATCAATTTTTAGAAATTAATTTTGGGATGATCATGTTACTGTTAAGTAGAGATGTTTGTATATCTCTTCTACTTTCAGAATTTGGCTCTAACCTATATCTTTCTAGCTTTAGCTATAGCAACAAATAAACCAACACCTGCACATTACATTGTAGACATCTTAAACTACTCTAAGATCCCAGTATAAAACATATTATAATTTTTCACTGTCCTTTCAAGGGATTATTTTCTTCAACCAAAAATGTTTCTCCAAAATTCTCAAGCTAGTGCTCTACTACCCATTGCTAACATCAGAGGTTGTAGATGAATCTTTCCCTAAATAGTTCTCATGAGATTCTTCAGAAAAAGATATCCTAAACTTTTCTATAGTACAAAGCCATTAGAATGAAAATACCTACATCTAATATCAGGTCACATTCAAAATTAAAGTTTACCTCTGATTAGTCCATCTGCTTTTTCACTGGTGTTGTTTCCTTCAAGTTTCATAGGTTCAGAGTTAACAATACATTCCTGGAAGAATGAGAAAATTTATGCATTTTATTTTATATTGCTTCACTTTAACTGCATTTTATTTTATATTTCTTCACTTTACATAAACAAACAAAAACAGTAGATCTTCAGTAGATTCCAACTCATGTTTCAGAGTATAATAAATCTATTATATGTTAACAGGGTTTTCCGGGGCTGTGCAGTAGAGTTCAAGATCTTTCTTCTAAGGCAACTCTGGGTATAGTCAAACTGGAAAGCTTTCCTGTTACTTGCCCAAAGTTTAATCATTTATGCAGCCCAAGGACAAACTTCTTTACATAATAAAGACTACTTAAACGTCTACTCCATTCTGAAGCAACGGGGAGAGATTATTAAATAAATGAAAAAAAAGCCTAACAGTATAAAGAACAGACCACAAGTGTGGGCTAATCAGGATAGACAGGGATCTGTATTAAGACTTAACACCCAAGTAAAAAGAAAGAAGTATAGAAATTAATGAAACAGAATCTAAGGAGTGGCAGGAAGCTAATGGGAAGCCTTTCTGAAAATTAAAACATGAGAAGAGTTACTCAGAAGAATCCCAAAAGGAGGTAGGTTGTATGTACATTTTTACTGAGTTAATTCCTACTTTAAGCTCTTTGGATTTCAAGTAAGGACAAAGGATAATTGCTTCTTCTTAATAACATTTCTTTCTTACAAAAACTAATTCATTTTTTCATTAATTAAATATACCATGTACATATACAATTATATATATAAAAAGAAAAATTACACATATTCCCATCACTAAACAAATACCAAATAAGGAGCTCTGGTAGCGTAGTGGTTATGAATTGGGCTGCAAACCACAAAGTAAACAGAAACTACCTGTTGTTCCGTGAGAGTAAGCTGAGGCTTTCTGCTCCTGTAAAGATTTACAGCCTCAGAAACCCTGTACAGGGTCTCCACGGCACATAACAACAACAAACAAACAATTACTATTAGCATTTTGGTACATTAAGCAAGCATACTTAAGACATATGTTGTTGTTGCTGTTGTTAAGTGGCATTGATTCAGTTGCAACCCATAACGACCCTGTATAGGGTTTCCAAGGAGCAGCTGGTGAGCTTGAACCACCGACCTTACAGTTCAAACAGCTTTGCAGTCTGCTGCATTAACCCACAGCGCCACACCAGGACTCCTAAGACATATATGAGGGGGCTTCAAAAAGTTTATGGGGGAAAAAAAAAAGTTCATAGAAAAATGGAATTAAAAGATAACTAAATTTTTTAAGCCTTTTATATAAACATATACAGTAAATTTTCATTATACATGGTATCTATATTCTATAAAATCAACATAAGCAATGGACTAGCAAATTCTAAACCACTGCTCCTTGCAGAGTTTTAGGGCTAGGTTTCTGCTAGCCCTAAACCATCAATACATAAGTAAGATAGCTTACTTAATATATTCACTAGCACTGAAAAAAAAAAAAGTAACAGCACTGTAATTCATGCCTAAACAAAACACATCTAATGTACATATTTTCTCTATAAGGTATATCACAGCCTTCTTGCATATAAGAATATCAGACATTAATCTGGGAAGCCATTTTGTATGTGAAATCACCGGTAAAAAAAAGCACAAAAATGCAAAAAAATGTGGCACTAAATATATCAAAAAACTAGTATTTGTTTACAATATAAGAGTTGAAATAAGGCAACTCAATCACTTGTAGTTCTGTGCATGTTCCAAATGACTGCAAACGTACTGACTTTGGGTCAATTAGTCTAATGGACTAATGGGAGATCGGGTGCTGTAGGATAAAAAGACTGTAGGAACCCAAGACTATGGCCCTTAATCACCCTTCATGTCTGAAGTGAACTGACATTCCGGGCTCCATTTTCAGCCAAGTGGTAGACAGGTATATTTGGGGAGGGGAGTGCTAAAACACTAGGCAAGGTATGCTAACCATGGTAGTCTCAAACATTCAAGATCAAAAGGCAGCATTTATCTAAGGACAAAGTTCAGAAGGATTGGGAAGGAGGGCTGATTGGAAATAAAGGAAAGTGGAATAAGGGGTATGAAATTAAGAGATTTAAACACTGAAATAAGACAGTGTATGATTTCTTGATTGTAAAATTGATTATAAACCTTCACTAAATTCACAATAAAAAGAGTTTCATAAAAGTACTGATTTGGGGATTATAAATAAATTGTAAAAAGTAGACAAACTCACAAATATGAAAACCATAAATAACTAAGATCAACTTCATTCACAAAATGAAACTCAAATTCCATATAGAGATTTGTACCTGGCTTTTTAAATTTTTTCAAATGAAAACAAGTATTCTTCAAAAGCAGAATTTTTGTGATTGCATAACATTAAACTTTATGGCTACATCATAATTGAACTAATTTCTTATCAAGAATGTTCTGCCTTTGAATTAATGTTGGGAAGAATTTAAAAAAACAACAACATAAAACACTTATATTTGGGGGGAAAAAAGCAATTTCTGATAACTTCTTTAAAATTTCTTAAAAACAATATTACTGATTTAAATACATTTAAGGCTCTTAACACAAGGGGACTTCAAACATTTGTGGAAAATGGAATGAAAAATGAATGGATATTTTCCACATATTTTTCCACAAACATTCTGAAGCCCCAACCCGCTCCCAACTACACACAAACATATTACTATGTTGGCCTCAAGCAGGTGACAGCAATTTTCATTCTCACCAACACATGAGAGACACTCACCACCTCTCTGAAAACATTAGAGATAACCAATATGTCTGGCTGATATTTTTAAGAGCAAAATTCAAAAATGCACAGCAAACCAAAAGCTTCAGAGGAAATGTACTTACTAATACTTTACCTTCTTTAGTTGACTCTTTTTAATTCTTTCAACAGGAAGAGGTCTGCCATCATGAAAGTTGGTAAGAATTACAGCAATGGCTGTAAGAGTTTTGCCCTTTAGAATGTTAAAAAAAAAAAAAAAAAGACAAAAATGGTCAGATTCTTAAAAAATGGAGAACAATATGGAAAGAATTTTTTTTTAATAATGTAACCCAATATCAAATATTATTTAACACCAAAGTATAGTGATCATTACATAAAACCACCATATATAGTAATAAAAAAGAACACTACATTGATTGCAGGATAAAAAAGATTTAAGCCTTGGAAATGCTATACAAGGTCAGTTACAAGTGGGAATCAACTCCACGGCACTAATTAAGCTAGGAATTGCTTTCCCCATGACACTACTGTTGTTAAGTGCCGTTGAGTCAGAGAGGCACTCTACAGGGTTGCCAAGGAGCGGTTGGTGGGTTTAAACCACCGAACTTCTGGTTACCTGTACAGTGCTTATCCTACAGCTCCACAACAGGACTCTATGACACTATTTGTTGTTGTTGATAAGTGCTGTCAAGTCGATTCCGACCCATAGCGACCCTGTATAGGGTTTCTAAGGAGCAGCTGGTGAGCTTGAAACACCGACCTTGCAGTTCAAATGACTTTGCAGGCTGACACATTAGCCCACAGCACCACACCGGGACTCTGCTATTAGGAATTATTAAATGATATAAACTATAAACCACCACTTGTCTGTTTGTCGTACTGTGGTGTGTAGTGTGATACTGTGATTCTGGAAGCTATGCCACGGGTATTTTAAACACAAACAGGGTCACCCATGATGGACAGGATTCAGCTGAGCTTCCAGACAAAGACAAAGAAGAAAGAGATAGACTACTTCCAAATATTTAGTTACTGAAAACCTGGTGAATAACAGTGGAAGACTCTCAGCACCAGAACATTAACTATCGAAAGATGAAGAGCACCAGAATATTGTCAGATATAGTATCAGAATGAGCTCTGGTAGCGTAGTGGTTACTACCAACTCTTCCACGGGAGAAAGACGAAACTTTCTGCTCCCATAAAGTTTACAGCCTCAGAAACTCTGTACAGGGTTGCTATGAGTCGGAACTGACCCCATGGCACATAACTACCACCACCACCACCACCACCATAGTGCCAGAAGATGAGCCCCTCAGGTTGGAAGGCACTGAAAATAGGACTGGAGAAGAGTAGCCTCCTCCAAGTAGAGTTGAGCATGATGATGTCAATGAAGTAAAGCCTTTGAGATATTCATTTGCTGATGGGGCACAACCCAAATTGAAGAAAAACAGCTGTGAACATCCATTAATAATCAGAAGGAGGAATGTATAAAGCATGAATCTAGGAAAACTGAAAGCTGTCAAAAATGAAATGGAACTCATAAACATCAATATCCAAGGCATAAGTGAGCTGAAATGAACTGGTACTGGCCATTTTGAATCTGACAATCACATAGTTTACTACACCAGGGATGAAAACTGAGGAGGAACAGCAGTGCATTCATCATTAAAAGGAACATATCAAGATCTATCTTGAAGTTATCTTGAAGTACAACACTGTCTCTGATAGGATCCATACAACCACAAGGAAGACCAGATAATACCACTAATTATTCAAATTTATGCACCAACCACTTACTCAATCTATATGCTGAGCAAATAATCCAAGAAGGTGGGTTATATGAAGAAAAACCAAAAAAAAACAAAACAAAACAAAACAAAAAATCAAGATTGAAAGAAGACTCATTAATAACCTGCCATATGTAGATGATACAACTTTACAGCTGAAAGTGAAGAACTTAAAATACTGATGAAGATGAAAGACCAGTCTTCAGTGTGGGTTGTACCACAACGTAAAGAAAACAAAACTCCTAACCACCAAACCAATAAACAACATCCATATCAATGGAGAAAAGATTGAAGTTGTCAATGACTTCATTTAGCTCGGATCAACCATCAACACCCATGTCAGTGTTCAAGAAATCAAACGGCATATCGCATTACGCAAATCTGCTGCACAAGACTTTTCTAAAGTGTTCAAGAGCAAAGATGTCAGCTTGGGGACTAAGGTGCACCTGACCAAAGCCAAGATATTTTCAATAACCTCATAAGCATGTGCAAGTTGGACAACGAATAAGGAAGACTGCAGAAGAACTGATGCATTTGAGCTATGGTGTTGGAAAATTATATTAAAAGTGCCATGGACTGCCAAAAGAACAAACTAATCTGTGTTGAAAGAAATGCAGCCAGAATGCTTGCTGAAAGTCAGGATGGCCAGACTTCGTCTCTCATGCTTCATTCATATTGTCAGGAGTGACCATCCCTGGAAAAGGATATCATGTTTGGTAAAAATGGAGGGTCTGAGGGTAAAACGAAGACCCTCAACGAGATGGATGGTCACAGTGGCAGCACCGATGAGCTCAAGTGTAGCAACGATTGTGCAGTTGGCACAGGACATAACAGGGTTTTATTCTGCTGTACATAGGGTCGCTACGAGTCAGTATTGACTCGATGGCACCTCTTAATACGATAAAAGCACTAACATTTTTGAGTAATGTTATTTTTCTTATTCTTCATTTAACACTTTGAACTATTTATCAAGAAACAATTTATATCTTTGAAGCTACCCGCTGTTCCATGGGAGAAAGATGAGGCTTTCTACTCCCACAAAGATTTATAGCCTCGGAAATCCTGTACACGGTCGCTAACAGTTGGAACCAACTGCACGGCACATAACAACTACCACAAACCATAAAATTAAAAGTTAATTTTAAAATCATTAACTCTGCTGCATATGAGCTGGTCATTTTATTATACCTGATTTTAAAATAATATTAAGATTTAAAAGCATAACTTGCTAATAAACATAAAGTTACATTTCTCATGCATTTATCTTATGTGAAAACAAGTAATTTAAAATATTTTCTACAATTATATCTATTAGTTAGTAATATACAAATAAGTGTCTGAATCCCACAACTATAAAGTGAAAAAATAGGGATAAACTTAGGGTCTCTAGTATATGGCACACATAGAGTAAGTATCAAGATGGCAAAAACACACAAACAAGAGAGAAAAAATTAGATGACTGGGACATACTAAAAATCAGGAATTTATATTCATCAAAAAATTCACCAAAAGAGTAAACAGGGAGCCCACAGACTGGGAAAAATCTTTTGTAAGGACACAACAGACAAGGGACTAATTTCAAAAATTTACAGGAAACTATAACACGCCTACAAGAAAAAGACAAATAACCCAATTTAACAATAGGCAAAGGACATGAATAGATACTTCACCAGGGAAGACATTCTGGCAGCAAACAAACATATGAAGAAATGTTCACAATCATTAGCCATTACAGAAATACAAATCAAAACAATGAGATATCATCTCACACCAGCAGTAACAACAAATGCTAGTAAGGATGTAGAGACTGGGACCCTCTTACATTGCTGGTAGGACTGGAAATTGTTTCAACCACTCTGCAAAATGGTATGGCACTTTCTCAGAAAACTAGAAATAGAAATACCTTAGGATTCAGCAATTCTTCTACTTGGTATACATTCACCAGAAATACGAGTCAGAACACGAGTAGATATATACTCACACCAATGTTCATCACAGCACTATTTACAATAGCGAAAAACTGGGGACTACCCAAATGGCCATTAATAGAAGAACTGATACACAAACTCTGGTACATACACACAATGGAAATCTATACTGCCCTGAATAACGATGAAGCTGCAAAACACCATATAACATGGATGAGCATGGTGTTAACTTGGGGTGGGGGAGGGCAGGGAAGGAAATGAACAAGAAGGAGGAAGAAGGTAAAGGAGTGGGGAAAATAGGCAAAGACTCTGGGAGATATACATGAGCTAAATGGAACAGAGGTAGACTGTGACATTTGCACAGCCTTGGAATAACAAGGCTCTGTGATATAGGGGTGGTCCTGGTGCAGTGCTGTAGGTTAATTCGCTGGACTAAAAGGTCAGCAGCGGTTCAAACTCACCAGCTGCTCCTTGGAAATCCTACACAAGGTCACTATGGGTCAGAATTGACTCGAGGACACTTAACAAAAACAATACAGGGATTGAGACATAGGTTGAAGGGGTAAAGCAGAGGAAACAATGTTAAGATGTTCGATTGCTCACAAAAGGACAAAGATTGCATAAGACCATTATTGTAAAAACATACGAAAAGATGTCAACACTAAAAAAGAAAATAATTCTTTGGTTACCAGGGGTGAGGGAGAGAGAGGTCAGCAAGGTCAGAAGTCACAAGAAGGGAAAATAACGTTAAGATTCTTGACTGTCTTATGAATATTGGTTTCCCTTGCCTACTATCGTGAAATAGACATTTGAGTGGGTAAGAAAGGAACATCGGGAAATATGATTACAGAATGCTTGTAAAGCCCGTCTTCAGCCGATAACTGCCTGGAATACCTAAAAGAGGTTCTAGATCTTGCCCAGTGAAATGAGCTTCTTGTTGAGCCTTTGTAGAGCAAAGGATTCCTTAGGTGGAATCCTGAGCCCTATCCAGAACCTTCTGAAGTGAGATAGTCCCACCTGAAAGGATAATGCAGACCAACCTAGAGACTGGAGGAACAGAAGATACTTCTTGGGAAAAAAAAAGACCAGCAGAAAAACAACAATAAACAAAACAGTCGACTGTTTGGCTATCAGAAGAACAAGCAAGCTATTTGCCTGGGAGCCATTAAGGCAAGTCATCAAGTCCCTTCAGTACAAACCTCCTTCCAAGACTGTAACTCAATGAGAACAAATGAGCAGGCTTGTAAGCTCGCTGATGACCACGTTGGTCTACTTGTGAGTGGAAGCTGGGGAAAGGCAGTAATGAAGACATGGGCTGAGTTTGACCATGTTCCATAAACTCCTGCCAACCTAAGATGAGAGAGAAGAGAAAGGGCTGTTTGGTCTGAAGTTTGGGGAGACTTGGGAACTCCTGAGCACATGGACACTGGGGTCTAGAGCTGAGAGTGAAGCATCTAGCTGATAGGAAGTGGGTAGAGGCACACAAGAATGCCCAAACTTGCACACTGTTCCCATTTGACCAAGTTTGGATGGCGTTGATGATCAGAACTGACTACAGGAAGATAAAGAAATTTGATACAGGAAGCAAGTGTAAATTGCTACAATTGGATGAACTTGACCTTTACTTATGGATGCAGTAGCTCAAAATA